ATGCTCTACATGATTGTGGTGTACTCAAGCAACTGTTAAAATGGGTCCAAATGTTTTCTACAAATACAAGCAGTCATATCAGATGCACTGCAGGCCTTTCTGATAGCTTTTCTGTGAAAGTTGGTATTCACCAAGACTCAGCATTATCACCATTGCTGTTCATTCTCATCATGGATACTATTATGAAAGACCTGCAACTCTCCAGAGCATTGCTTTATAACAATGAGGTCATCCTCGCAGCTGCCACCAGACAAGAAACAATCACCTTAGCCAATTTGGCCTGTGTCTCAACCTCAAGAAGACTGAATACATAGAGACCAAACCAGACAAGTCAGTGGTAAAGATTAGTGAAGACCAACATCTTCTGTTACTTAAGATCTAATCTACAAATTGACAGCAGCAGTAATGACTAAGTGAGTGCAAGAGTGAACAAAATATGGCTACAATGGAAGATCACTGAAGTATTCTACGAGTGACATATTCCAATCTATTTAAAATTGAAGGCATATAAAACAATGCTATGTCCAGTAGCTTTATATGGTGCTGAGTGCTGGCCACTACCAAATTAATTAAGCACTCTTTATAGAGCATGTACATGTTTTGTTGGTCATTAGGTGTTTCTCTTGACCATGTCAGCAGTGAGACAGTTCAGCACCAAATGGGCATTGCGCCAATACCTAAGAAAATGCAGGAGAAATCCTACAATAGTATGACCATGTCCTATGGGCAACACTCCCACTGTTGCTTGCATTGCCTTCCACTTTAACACAGATGGCAAGTGTCCAGGTAGAAGGCCAAAGCAAAGATGGCAAGATACAATTTTGTTCATTCAAGATGGCTTCCGGTTTGACGTTGCAGTGGTATCTGATGCGAGGAGTGGATCTCTGCGATCCCATGCCAAACCCTTTTTGTTGGAGAGCCCCCCTAGGAGATAAGTCACCCTGTAGGGGTGACAAAGGAGGGGTACCCTGCAGGTCACGGAGTGTGGCAGCTCTCCAGCTGGACCCAGGGATTTCCTCCCATCCAATGACGAAGAGGAGAGGCAACCATTAGGGCTGCCATTAAGCTGGGGCAGCCGAAGAAATAAAGAAAGTACTGGAACAGTGTAGAAGAACGCTGATTGGAACTGGGTGAGCCGATTCTTTTTTTTTTTAACCTGGAACTTAACCCCAAAGAAAATAAACTCTGGAAAAGAGACTCTTTGAAATACTTATCAAAGTGGTGATTAATTACAGAGACAAAAATTATAGACCGGGGGGAGGGGGGAAATAAAAAAGAAGAATGCAAAATCCTTAAAATACAGAAAGACTGGATCTCTAAATTTTATTGGCATTATTTTGGTAAGGCATTTTAAAATGCTGGAACCACTTCTTTGAAATACTGACTGTTTTTTAGAAACGGAAATAAAGATTGGTCATTTGTAACAATGTTGAAATCTAAGCTGATGGCACCATCTACTGGTGAATGGAATATTTATTAATATTTACTAAGCTACAACCTTGGGAAGTACTGATAAGACAAGGATACAGCAGTGGATCTACATAATACATGGAGGTCTGTTGTGTTATTTACTGTGCTATATTTTTACTTTATGGCTACTGGAGGTTAACTGTGAGAGCATGAAAGACATTTAAAGCAAGTGATTTCCAAATACTAGGATCTATGACTGAATTTACGGAATGGATTTAAGGAGACATTTGGAAAATGGATGTTTTAAAGTATTTATGATATGTTGACAAAGAATTACAGGGAGATAAAAGACTTAATGCAGGACATTCTGCCGAAATCAGAAAATGTTCATCAAGGGACAACGAATAAAGATCAGGAAACAGAGGAAATAACAGAATGACCAGAAGAAAAAACAGACCAGATAAAGCAATAAGAACAAGAAAAGAAAGAGAAGACAATAAAGACGTATGAACCAAACCAGGGACAATATAGATTAAGATACCAAAATATGGGATGGAGATGGCAGCAAAAGATAGTAGAAATGGAAGAAATATTCGGGTTAAATAGGAAAGATGTAGACAGAGACAAAGACCCAAGTGAGGAGGTTGGGAGGCAAGCCAAAAAAACAAATAAAAACTGAAATACTAATGTGGACAAAAGATGATGGTTAGAAAAGGAAAGTTGTTTAATATAAGATTGGTATTATTGAAAGCTAGAACAGAAGTAAGAAATAAGATTAAGGGGTAATATTATCACATTCCAATCTATTTAAAATTGAAGGCATATAAAACAATGGTATGCGTAGTAGCTTTATATGGTACTGAGTGCTGGCCACTACCAAATTCATTGAGCACTCTTTATAGAGCATGTACATGTTTTGTTGGTCATTAGGTGTTTCTTTTGACCATGTCAGCCGTGAGACAGTACAGCATCAAATGAGCATTGCACCACTACCTAAGAAAATGCAGGAGAAATGCCTACAGTAGTATGACCATGTCCTATGAATAACACTCCCACTGTTGCCTGCATTACCTTCCACTTTTGCCTGCATTGTCCAACACAGATGGCAAGTGTCCAGGTAGAAGGCCAAAGCAAAGATGGCAAGATACAATAATAAAAAAAAAACCCAAGTTGGATCCAGAAACTGCATTTGTTCATTCATATTATTTGTCAATCTAAAAAGTGGATTTTGCACCTGCAGGAATAATAATAATAATAAGATGATGATGATGATATTTAAAATCTATAAACTTTATAAATAGAATAAAAATATATAAGTTTTATTTTATAGGCTATTGCCTGGACCACCAACTTATTTTGTCTCTGTTGCACATTTAAGTAAATTGAAGTAGCAGCTTCATCTCAGTGTTTGCAGCCCACTTTGAAAAATTGTTTGATGAGCTTACTAATAAATGAAAGTTGTTTACTTTCAGAAAAAACTAAGGTTGCTGCCCATGCATTATCTTCCATTCTTAACCATAGATGAAAAAGCTGTCAAGTTAAAATTGAGGAGACAGCAAATAATCCTTTATTGAAACACTGCCAACTTAAAAAGAAGTCACAATAATACATTAAATTTAAATATATTTTGAAAAGTGATTGATAGTACTTCTGCTATATAAATAGTTATTTAAATGATGAAACTCCAGGATTTCATGATCTCACTTGAGATTTCAATTTTATTTTAGTAAGAACTCCTTAAGTCAGATATCTGCAAACCTGGCGACTTTAAGACTTGTGGACTTCAACTCCCAGAATTCCCCAACCAGCTGGCTGGGGAATTCTGGGTCTTGAAGTCCACAAGTCTTAAAGTCGCCAAGTTTGAGGACCCTTGCCTTAAATGATCAGCGGATAGTATTTTATTGAACTCTAATCTATGACATTTTATGGTTTCTACGTGATCCCAAAAATTGAAATGATAATGATACAGAATTTAAGGATTCAGATAGTTTTCTTGGAAAACTGGGGACTCTTTTACAAAGAAGTATTGTAAAGTATAGCATGGAAAGAACAACAACATATTAGAATCACTTGTATTTCTTGATTTACTATTTGGCCTGGTTTTATTTTGAAATTTTTTTGTAAAAGTTTGTTGCACCTATGTCTCATTCCTTGAAGTAAAAGTCAGGATAAGAAAGATATTTACCTTCAAAGTCTTATATGGCTTTAGATCGGGTTTCTTGATGGACCGTCTTTTCTCGATCACATTTACTTGATCCACAAGAATAGGGAGGCTGGAAATGCTACTAGTTCATTCTCTAAGGAGGTTTACCTAGTGGAACCAACAAGAAAGGCCTCCTTTGTGGTTGCTTGGTCCCTGTGGAACATCTTCCCTGCAGAGATAAGATTGCCCCCAGTTTGACACATTTTCACAAGGCCCTAAAGATCTAGTTTTCTCAATGGACTTGAGGTCCTCAGAGTAGGATGGAACACATCAAATGACTCCTTTGACCGTTGTTGCCGGGGTGGGGTGGACTAGGGGTTTATTGCTTTTTATTGTTTTTTTATATTGGGTTTTTATCCTTGTAAGCTGCAGTCTATCAGTGAGTTAGGCATAAAGAATGGTGCCCTTCAACTATACCTATAATTGGCATGCAGTTACTGATCCTTCATAGCAGAATTCACTGGTAACCAAGAGGTGGCTTGGTTATACCAGTAGTTCTTTTATAATAGAATGAGGGAGAATGAAACTTCAATATCTTTTGCTTGAACTGTTTCTGCTCTTTGAAAAGGAAAATCTAAAAATCTAAGATAAGGATTTGGACCAAATAATGATTAGTTATGAGATCTTTCGAAATCAATAGCACAAAAATAAGTTTGAAGATGGGAGTTAAAATTTAATAGCTTCTGTTTGAACTTGAGAGCCATATAGAAAATGCCATACTAGTAAGTAGAAATAAAATGTCCTTTCTTATCCATATTTCAGGTATAACAGCAATAATCTAGACCCCAGCATATCTGCATCATTGCAACTTGGCCAAAGAATTAATCCCTTAGAGCAGTACTTTCCAAACTGTTCTATTTAGAGACCCTGACATTCCTTAGAAGCTTACTAGGTCTTCCCCATAACTGCAGATTGGTTTCCCTGAAAAACATTTTGCCCTTCAGTAATAATATAGTTGTTTTCTTACTAAATGGTTGCAGAAAAAAGATTTGGATGAGGGCCAGGGCAAATTCTGATTCACAATTCATATAGAACATGAAGTGCATTTGTAACATACAAAATTTGTTATAAGATGGAAAGTTTTAAACAGATTGAGAAACTTTTTTATTTTAGTTACTGAAAATTCAAAATACCTTTGTTGAAGAGGGTTATTGCTGCATCATTACAATAAGTATAATTCAGACTTAATGATATTTACTAGAAAAGTGATCTCCAACCTTTTTGTGCTATTAGATTTGAAATTTTAAAAACATAGTCTCAGCATTCTTAGGAGTACCGAAGTGTAAGACCAAATGGGGATTGTGGGTGAATAACAACACCATGTGCAAATGTGGAGAGATGCAGAGTTCAGCTCATTTGTTGGTCTACTAATTACTATCAAAAGAATATGCTAAGAGATAAATTTCTGGCCAATGTTAAAGCCAAAAAGGTGGCTTCATTTTGTTGGTTTATGATTTGATCTGGACACAAAATAAATAAATTAAAGCATGCATTGACAAAGGTTCTGGAGAGAAAACCCATTACATGTACAAAGCAGCAATTTACCAAAATGTTAATTAGCCCTTCCAAGCTCCCACATTGGTGCTTGTGGGCACCAGGCTGAAGGCCTTGGCACTTGATATTGAATAGTCCTCTACTACCTCAATTAAATGTGTTAAATCACATGAAGTTTTGAAATGAATTATGGAAACATTGTGAAAAAAACACGAGGTTAGTAACTGCATGTCCCGGATGTTGAAATAGTTAATGGAGTTATCTTCATTCATGAATGGATTTAGCTCAGTGATCATCTAGTTATCAATCAGAGGCATGGCTTTCCCACTCAGCTTCATACCACACCCTCCCTCTCTTCATTAGTGCTCTGGCTATGTTTTAATAGCTGGTATTTGTGATGGGGGCATCTGATCCAATGCTTGAGTTAAATATAGCCCTGTCTAGTGTAAGGAGAAGATTTAATGGGAAATGGTTAGCATTCTTTCTCCCTAAAGAACAGAGGGAGAGGGAGAGAGAGACGAGAGAGACATGCACACATAAACATCTCGAACCAGTGAGAGGCTGAAGGAGGAAAGGCAAGCAGAAAAGACAGTGGTCAAGAAATCATACAGCTTGCAGCCAGAATGGTTATCCTCAGCTGGATTGCTCTGGGATTTTATCTTCAGGTCTTTTTCTGCTGGGCTTTGTCTCAAACCTCTTTTGTCGACAGTGTCTTCTCCATTTCAGCAGGTAAATGACAACCTTGCTTTGCCTCTTGGTGAGTTACATATCTTCTCTTAGGTGATTTTTCTGAAACATGTTTTTTTTGTTTCTAATCTCTTCTAATCATTAAAGCTTTGAGAAACTTGATTGCAAATGTAAATGAAGCTGTAGCTCATATATATATATATATATGTGATGTGCAGCTAAAGAGCGTAGAGCTTGGTGGTCG